CAGCATTGCCAGAAATCTGTCATCGTGATTCAGCAGAGGCCAGATGAAGAAGTGACCCCCTCGGAGAAGAGATTGCTATGCAAACAGCCCCAATCAGATTACTGGACAACACGATCAATACATTTTCTAATCAACGAGAGAAGGAACCTTCAATTCGTGCACCTTCTCTAAGATGATTAATGTTATTCCAAATGATCCAATAGTGTTATGCCTTGTCCATGCCATTTACTGAAACAGCAGGAATAGAGGGGAACTGCAGTCCTTTTCATGCTTACTCTGTGGGACCTGCTCCTAAGTAGAATTGCTGAACTCCATGGGATTATTTTCTGAGCAGAGGACTGGGTAGTACATGCCCAAAAACAAACAGCAGTTCTTTCAGACATACTATTTTGACTACTAAAAAAAATAAGTTCTTGTGTTCTGGTGTTCTATTTCCCAAAATAAAATTTAAAAATGCACAAAGGCAAGCAGCCAGTGCCAGTTGAAAGATACAAACATGAAACATTCATTTCCAAAAATGGTGGGTGGTAATATCACCTTACCGCTGTTCTGGGTTTCACTCTTCTGCTAGGCTGTTGGAAAAGGACATTAAACCATGGTCACTATTTTGTATGGTTTATAAACCCGTAGAATTCATCAAGACATGGAGAACTATGATTACTACCTGAAATTGTAATGACAGAATACACAACTTGTTCTGAGTTTCAATGAATGTGTGAAACGTAAAGCAGTCATTGGCTACCAGCAGTAACAGTAACATCCATTTACAGAGGAAGTACTGTATTTCCAACTTCCAGATGCTGGGAACTAACAATTTGAGACAGATATTGCCATCATGTCCTGCCGCTGAACCTGCCCAAGGCATTGACCGAGCCATTGCCAACAGATAGGAAGCTAAGCTAAATGGAGCATGGCTGAGACCTAGCATGTCACTTCTGCTCTTAACACAGATCCAAACGTACACAGAACTAAATATTAAACTATAAATCTATGCAACAGGAGTATCCATACTCACTTAGTACCATTTCCTAAACACTTCTGCAGTTTTCTCCACAATAACATAATTCCTATGCCACAGTGCCACCCACAGTCTATGGAATCTCTCACAAGTGAATGGAACATCTACCTATTTTTTCCTACACAATAGTGCCACACAGTGGACAGTGAGTCATCGACTTCCAAAGAAACAGCCATTTAAATCTGTTTCAGCAAATGTTGTATGAAGTTATTCAACAGAGGTAATTTTCAAAGAGGTACTGTAGCTATCTTACTGTACCTAAGGGTAGCAACAAGAAAGACAGAGAGAAGGCAAAGCCTTGTGGTATTTTTGAGACTAACAAATTTATCTCAGTGTGAACTTTTGTGAAGTACAATCCACTTCTGCAGACACATGAACCAGTATCTTTACAGAAGTATTTAAATAAGTGTAGCATGATGAGTGTGGCAGCTGCTGTGGCAATTAAATGAGCAAGAACACAAGCAGCACAAGCAGCACCCAGTCGGATCACTAGAGTAGCTGTTGCAACGGAAGCCCTACGTATAGGGCTCTGGTCATGACATGCAGGATTTATAGCACAAGTTTATATATACAGTGTACACGGTTGTGAGAAATGATGCTGAGTGAAATGGAAAACAAAAATAACAACTGTATTATTAATACTGCAAATGAAGTGGAATACAGAAACCAAAGCATCCTCCAGCTTATTGGAAATATCTAATATATCCTGTACAGTAGTTGGCTGTTCTTGACAAATGATGGCATCCTTCTCCGTGTGGTTCTTTTGAAATGGTTTCTTTGACATTTAGTGGTAGGACTTTCAAAGCCTGGTGTAGTACTGCCCCTCTAGAAATGGCAATGATGTATCCAGAAATGATCCTTGAGAAGTGGACGGTGACCCATGAAAGTTAATGCAAATATAGAAAAATATCTGAACAAAACAAGTCTACTACTCTGAACTATTTTTCTTGGTATTGTTAAGTGCCGGTGCCATCAAGTCGTCTTTAGGTGACCCCATGAATGAGTGATCTCCAAAATAATCTGTCTTCAACAGCCCTGCGCAGCCCTTGCAGACTCAAGTCTGTGGCTCCCTTTAGTGAGTCAATCTGACTCATACTTGATCTCTTTCTTTTCCTGTTGCTTTCTACCATTCCCAGCATTATTGTATTTTCCAGAGAATCCTGTCTTCTTGTGATGTGTCCAAAGTAGGATAGCCTTAGTTTCAACATTTTTGTCTCCAGAGGCAGTTCAAGCTTGATTTTATCTAGGACCAATTTCTGTGGTGTTTTTTTTGTTTGTTTGTTTGTTTGTTTTTGTTTTGGGCATTTCTGTGGTGTGTTTTTTTGTTTGTTTTTGTTTTGGGGGCAATCCAGGTTACCTGCAAAGCTCTCATTTTGCACTATATTTCAAACAAATCAATTACCCCCCCCCCTGAGCTTTCACACCCATACATGATGATTGGAACCCCCCCCCTTGAGTTTCACACCCATACATGGTGATTGGAAAACTATGGACAATCTTGGTTTTGGGCTCCAGTGACATCTCCTTACACTTTAAGATGTTTTCCATTGTCAACATTGAAGTTGTGTAATTTTTCTGTAGTCACGATTTTGATCTTCATGTCCAATTGCAATCTTGCTTCTGCACTTTTTTCTTTCACATTCACTAAAAGTAGTTTTGAGTCATTGTTGCTTTCTGGCAGTAAGATGATGCTATCTGCATATCTTAAATTATTAATTCCCCCCACCAATTTTTACTTGTCTTTCATCTGAATCTAATCTGGCTTTCTTTATGATATGTTCTGTGCATGGACTGAACGTATTACGGGACAAAATGCATCTCTGTCTTGCACATTTGTATATAGGAAATAATTCTGTCTGTCCATATTCTGCCCTAACAGTAGCTTCTTACCTATAAGTTATGCATCAGGTCAATCAAGTGCCGAGGCACACCCATTCCTTTCAGAACAATCCTATATTCTGCCCTAACAGTAGCCTCTTACCTATAAGTTATGCATCAGGACAATCAAGTGCTGAGGCACACCCATTCCTTTCAGAACAATCCATAGTTTGTCATGATCTACACCAGAGGTCCCCAACCTTGGTCCTCCAGATGTTCCTGGACTACAACTCCCAGAAGCCTTCACCACCACCTGCTAGCTAGGATTTCTGGGAGCTGGAGTACAAGAACATCTTGAGGTGCAAGGTTGGGGACCACTGATATACACAGTCAAAGGCTTCACTGTAGTCTATAAAGCACAGACTGATGTTCTGAAACTCTGGTGCATTCCAGTAGACAGTGGATATTTCCAGTATGATCTTGAGTGCCTCTTCCTTTTCAAAATCCAGCTTATTAAGCCACTTCATAATACTGGAAATTCAAAATAGAAGGCGCCAGACCAAATAGTGTTGCTTAAGCTCCAATATCCCATTTGGATGCAAGCATCCCACTAAATGGCATATACACCTCTTGTTGTTGTTGTTTAGTCATGTCCGACTCTTTGTGACCCCACGGACCAGAGCACACCAGGCCCTCCTATCTTCCACTGCTTCCTGGAGTTGTGTCAAATACATATTGGTTGCTTCGATGACACTGTCCAACCATCTCATCCTCTGCTGTCCCCTTCTCCCCTCGCCGTCACACTTTCTCAACATCAAGGTCTTTTCCAGGGAGTCTTCTCTTCTCATGAGATGGCCAAAGTATTGGAGCCTCAGCTTCAGGATCTGTCCTTCCAGTGAGCACTCAGGGTTGATTTCCTTCTGAATGGATAGGTTTGTTCTCCTTGCAGTCCAGGGGACTCTCAAGCGCCTCCTCCAGCACCACAGTTCAAAGGCATCAATTCTTCGGCAGTCAGCCGATTCCAAGTGATTTAGCCTGCACCAACCAAAAGGAGTAGGGCAGACAAGCCCTGACCTCTAAACTTTTTTGGCTCTCCATAGTTACCATCCACATTCTGAGCAAGAGCTCTGACTACAACTCCCTTGTAAACATTTCTTCCAAACATGCAAAACTTTACTAAGCCAGCACGCCTCCTTGGGACAACAGGAACACGGACTACGGCAGGCGCTTGGAATAACCAAGGTGACAACTTTTATAGCTGCTCCACTACAAAAAGCGAGGGTGGACACTAATCGAAAGGAGAGGGGGTGAAAGTAATCTATTCATCTCACCCAGGGCACCTTTCTAAAGAGAGGACTTCCGGTGAACACTTGAATGCACCTTACGTGCATTCAAAGTCTGTAATACAACCATAGGAATCTGTTTCCCTTGATTACTTGGCATTAAGTCGTAATTACATTTTTGTGGTTGAGAGAAACCGAGTCACCGATTCCAGCTTCGAAGGTCTCGAAGGAAAGAGGCGGCCGTCTCGATTCTTGGTTGTCATTCACTCAATGAACAGCAACAGGCGGAATTTTATTATTTCCACGGCACTTGTTTTCCAAGGGAGATCAGAAAGAGCTCTTACATCTCAGCGTGTCTTGCTGTGTCCCTATATATATAGGGACATACATACATACATACATACGTACGTACGTACGTACGTACATACAGGGTCACAGCAAGACACGCTGAGATGTTAAGAGCTTTTTTTTATCTCCCTTGGAAAAAAATGCTGTGGAAATAATAATATATATATATTTCCACTTGAAAGAACATTTCACTTCAAGTTGCTATCGGCTGCCCATTTACCTCCAGCTAAACCCACTGGAACCTGCTCCCGAGGAGTGACGTACCCGCTGATCTATTTTAAAGGCGCAACCCTGTGAATGTTTCCTCGGCACATGGCGCTGAGCTTAGCCCGGCTAAGGCTTGCCATTTACTATTTGCAAACTGCATTGTGCCTCCCTTTTCCTTAAGCCGGCAGCCTGAGGAAGAATTGAAGGGAACTCAACCAGTCCCTAATATTTAGTTTTAGTTTAGGGATCCTTCAGTCTCGAGAGACGATGGTATTGAAGTTCATTGGTTGGTCCTCCGAACGTTGTACCATAGAGAATTAGGTAGAGCGTCATCCGGAAGGAGAGGCTGTGCGAGCGAGGGCGGCGCACGCGCGTTCTCTCGCTTGCCTTAGGAGAAAGGGGGAAAGAACGTGTGTTTGGGGGTCCCGAGGGGAAGCTAGTGGTCCTTTGGTTAACCCGTTGAGCGCCGTCGGGGTTGCGAGGAGAGGCGATGGCGGAGGTCCTGAACCTCAACAATGAGGTGAGTTTGCCTCTGCGTCCCTTTCCTTCTCTGAGTAACCGCCTCCCATCGTAGGAGAGGTGAGGCGGCCCATGAGGCGAAGGGGCTGTTTGTGGGACCTTAACGTCCGGTGGGGAAGGCGCTGCATGTGAGGAGGGGAGCTGAGTTCATGATGGCTTTGGATACGAAGGATTCCAGGTCCAGTCCTTGTGGTCTCCAGGCAGAGTTGGGAAAGACCCGCATATAAGAAATCCTGTCCCTCCATGCAGAGACCATAAGTCTTCAGCAAGTAGCTTAGAGCCCTTCCTGGCCCACCCTGGCCTTCAATGGGTTCATAATGTAACAGAAGCAGGATCACCACATACAAAAAAGGGGGGGAAAAAAGAACTGGCTCTCCCAGATGCATGGTCCCGTCTCTGAAAATTTGGTGAACCAAACTAGATGGACCACTGGTCTGACTGGGTGATTTTTTTCCCCTGTACAACTGTTTCTTATACTGTATAACAATTTCCAGAGAGGCAAGTGTGTAAGTCTCGCAGCAGAAACAAGGAAAAATTTTTGTGGCAGCCAGAAGCTATAATGAATATATTGCACCAAGATTTTATGATGAAGTTGACTCTACTCCATGAAAATGTATGTGAAAATACATTTAGTTAGTTATTTGCCATCAAGTCAGATCTGACTTAACCGTGACCCAAATAGGGCTTTCAAGGTAAGTGAAATATTTAGAAGTGGATTTTCTAGCTCTCCTCACCCAGTGAGTTTCCATGGCAACGTGGGAATTTGTACCGTAATTTTCAGAGTCCTAGGCCATCACTAACCACAATACCATGCTGGGTACCCCAAAACATATTACTTAGGGCTAAATTTCATTATTAGTCCCTGTGCAAGTAAACCCAAAAAATCAGTTGTGATTGCAAGTCAACACAATTATGCAATTCTTAAATGAATCCCATTGATTCAGTGAGACCACTCTCACTGAGACTAGCCACTGGATTTAATTATTAAACTATAAAATGCTGCAAAACTCTTTGTTATTGTATGCATTGTGTGCAGCTCTCTTAATGATATAGTTTTATGCATTGAGATATTTTTAAATGGCCAGTATTCTGTTCTGTAGCTCATTGGAAAAGTAGAAGGCATCAGGAAAAGAGAAAGATAAAATATGATGTGGATTTGCTCAATTAAAGAAAGCCACAGCCTTGAGTTTGCATTGTCTGAACAGAAGTTTTTGAGGTCAGTAATTCATAATGTATAGCATGCTCTATGTGGGGCTGCCTCCGGAATGTGTTTCGAAACTTCAGTGGGCCCAAAATGTTGCAGCCAGATTGCTGACTGGGGCTGGTTACAGGCTGGTTACCCCTCTGTTACAACAGTTTCACTAGCTGCCCATTCCATTTCTGGGCAAAATTCGCAGTGCTAGTTTTAACTTATAATGGCTGGGGTCCAAGCTATCTCAAAAAACTATCTCCTTCTATAAACCTACCCAGGTGCTAAGATCATCAGGGGGGCCTTTCTCAGGTCCACTACCCTCACAGGTGCATTTGACAGCTGTCAAACCTACAGTTCAATGCATTCCAATGGGGGGGGGGAAATTCACCAAAAATTAACGAAGACTCAGAACAAAGCCAAATTAAGTTTGCAAAGGTTTTACAAGGTGCACTAACGATTCCAAGCATTTTAAACAGTTTTTGAACATTTTAAGACACTTTAAAAATAGTGAAAACGGACCTATCAAAACCATTGAAATGCATTGAAACCTATTCAATGCATTCCAATGGGGGAACCGCGTTTCGCTTAGCGATGATTCCTATGGCGATTTTCGCTTAAGGAGGGTAATCCGTTCCCATTGGAATGCATTATCCGGTTTTCAGTGCATTCCTATGGGAAATGGTGTTTCGCTTAGCGATGTTTTCCCATAGCGATGGTTTTTTTTTTTTGAACCAATTAACATCATTAAGCAAGGCACCACTGATGGGACCCATTGCCAATGTTTGTTTCTTGAGCAGAGTGGTTGAGAGGGTGGTGGCCAATCAGCTCCAGGCCCTCCTGGAGGAAACGATGCCTTTTAATCCACTCCAGTTGGGCTTCAGGCTGTGGCATGGTATGGAAACAGCATTGGTCGCCCTGTAGGATGACCTCTTGAGGGAGGCCGACAAGGGCAATATGTTCTTGTTGGTCCTCCTTGATATCTGAGCGGCCTTTGATACCGTTGACCATGGAGCGGTTCTCCAAGTTGGGAATCAATGGCCTCACTTTGGTGTGGCTCCTTTCCTTCTTAGAGGACCGTCCCCAGAGAGTGCAGCTTGGTGAGATGACTTCTACCCTGTGGATCCTCAATTGTGGGGTTCCACAGTGGTCGATCATCTCGCCAGTGCTATTTAATATCTATATGAGGCTGCTGGGTGAGGTCATCCGGAGTTGTGGGGCCCAGGGCCATCAGTACACTGATGACACCCAGCTCCACCTCTCCTTTTTTCCAACTGCAGTGAATGCTGTTCTGACCCTTAAACGCTGCATAGGGACCGTTCTGGGGTGGATGAGGGCAAATGGACTGAGGTTGCATCTGGACAAGATGGAAATCTTGTGCATGGGTGGCCCTGGCATCAGTGGGTTGGGAAACTCCTTCTCTTTTAGGGAATGACTGTTCCCATGCAGAGTGAGGTTCGCAGCTTGGGCTTCTGCCTGGACCCGGTTCTCACCATGGAAACCCAGGTGCCATCTGTGGTCCGGGCAACCCACTTCCATCTTCGGAGTTTGCCCAGCTGCATCCCTGTCTAGACGTGGGAGGATGCCCAGCTGCATCTCTGTCTAGATGTGGGGGCACTCATTATGCTGATTCTTGCAGTCACAATCTCAAAAATAGATTACTGCAGTGCTCTATGTGGGGCTACCCTTGAGATTCATGCGAAGACTTCAACTAGTCCAATTTGGCAGCCAGATTAATAACTGGGGTGAAGAAATTCTGGCACATCTCCCCCATTCTGGCCACCCTTTCTTTCTGCATCGACTTCAAGGTTATCATAACATTCAAAGCCCTAAATGGTTTAGGACCTCAGTACCTATCAGAACACCTGCTTCCAGCCAGATCTGTCCATAATACCTGTTCTTCACAGGCAGGGCAGTTGAATTCCTTGACCCCAAAGGAGGCCCGGAGTGAAAGAACAAGAAACTGGGCCTTCTCGAAGGTTGCCCCCTGCCTATGGAACAACCTGTCCATTGAGATCCGCCTGGCACCTTCGCTGGATGGGTTTAAATGAGCATTGAAGACTTGGCTCTTCTGTCAAGCTTTTCTAGAGCATTAAGATCTTGGCCTCCCTTTTACGTACAAATTCAATAAATAAATAATAATAAATAAATAAATAAATATCAAGAAATTTCACACAGTACTATAAGTGGTTCTCAGAAATAACATGATCAGAGCTACAAAAAAACCAGCAATATTAGGAACGACATACATAGTGCGCCGATATTTAACAGATACTTAGGGTTTTGGTTAAAACTTGCATCTGTTATATAATACCAATCAATATTTTTATAATTTTGACCATGCCTGGTGTATTTGAATAGCAATAATAGTATGCTCTCACGTCAGTTCTGACTTACGGCAATCCTTTTCAGCGTTTTCTAGATAAAGAAGACTCAGAAGCTGTGTATTATTCCATTCTTGGGGGGGGGGGAATATCCTGGGACTGTGCAGGTTGCAGCCTCTGGCTCCACAGCCAGATAAATACCTAACTAACTTAGCTATCCAGCCAGCTAGTATGTATCAAATTGTCAAATATAAGAAAATTATCAAATACCAGAAACTAATTTTGTGTGGAAATCATACTTGAAAATCTTGCTAGGTGGCAGCACAAAATAAGTAATAGGCTTTTCCTTCTCTTACTTGCACAGGATGATTTGTACATATGAGAGGTGGTCCCAACAGAATTATAAAATATGTTTATCTTAAGACATTGGCTCCTGGTGTGGAGGTATTTTAGCTGCATTGGATATATGGGGTTACTTGAGGTGAAACTTAAAAAAGTTAATTCTGCTTTGTGGAGCGTAGAAAAGCCTTCAACCCATTTCATAATAAATTTACAGTATGCATGTAATAGCTTTCTTTATCCTGTAATTGCATATGTTCTACAGTATATAATTCTAATGATCCAAACTAAATTGTTAAACTAGAATATTTGTTTACAAATATTCAGTTTAGACATGAGTCAGAGGCTTGGTTTCTGGCAGAAAAGGTGTGACCTGGGAAGGTTTCAAACTGATATGACAAAATGTTGAAAGATCAGAGGTAAGATCACCTTCCAGGTTTTTGCAAATGCCCAGGTACATTTTGAAGGTAGCATTGATTTCAGAATGATACAATGCAGGCAGTAATTGAGACAAACCATATTCCATCTTTGGTTTTGCATCTGCCTTGTTCAGAAGAATTAGGTTAACAATTCCCATTAAATATTTGTAATCTGTGTATTTGGATTCTGTATATTTTTTTTTTGTTATTTCACCCTAAAGGAAAGTTTATTAATTGTTTCCTACTGATGTAGCTTTTCCTTTTTTTCCAGCTGTGAAGACCCTAATGTAGAGATAGTGTCACACACTGCATATCATTGTTGGATCAGAAATTACATGTCTAAATCAGATTCCGATGATATTGCGTGTTTTCTGAGTTCACTTCCTCTGTTCCCAAAACTATTTAAACTCTGGTGTCTTTTCAGAGGGTATAAATCTTAAACTTGGCAGGAAAAGATTAGGAAACAAGAATGTATCCCAAGAAGCAAATGTCCTCCAGGGTTGCATTTCCAAAGGTTGATCAGGGCTCCTATTGTCCCTACTGTTTGGAACATTTGAGAGCAGGAATAATCAATTTAACACTCCTCTCGTGTTAGACTGCACTACCATCATCTATCCTGTGTCGTCAGTGGTGAAGGGTGATGGGACTTAGAGTGCCAATGCACAGCCTTGACATAAAGCATCCTATATGTGTGATCTGCACTTGGAGAAGACAAGCCTAATTGTTTTCA